AAAAATAAATTTTTCATACAGAAAAATTCATTTTTAATGCAATTGACACACGTGCAAACATCTTAGTGTCAATTGCATTAAAAATGAATTTTTCTGTATGAAACTGGGTATTTTAATAATGAAACAGAGGTCTTTTTAAAAGTTAAAACCTCATTTAATTTTATGTCTTATAGGGTTTATACTGAGTACAATATTGTATAACTGTAATAATTCAACTGTAAACCTGAAAATTATAGCCAATTTCGAAAGAGAGGCATCTTAGCTCTGGAAATTGTTATTGAAGATATCAATGCTGTTGTAATGAAATGCTTCTTCTAAGCATGTGGTTATTAAATAAATAATTTTTAAAAATTCCAGGACTTAGCTCTTCCCATTCTTAGGGTTGTGATAAGTTACAGTTCATCTTGTTTATAACTAATATTTAATAGTGATGTTGTTAATTAGAGACATAAAATATGGCAAAATACTCAAAATTCAGAAGTTTTGTTGTTGTGCTGGCATGAAATCAAAAACAAAAACATACCGTTCTCCAAACTGCGCAGCTTCCCTGTCCCATTTTTAGGGCAGTAGAATGTCAAATGCTTAGAGCTTCCCTGTCCCATTTTTAGGGCAGTAGAATGTCAAATGCTTAGAGGCCACCAAGAGAGTCGAAAACTCAGTGTGGGGATATTCTTCCTTACCCGTGACACTCACCAACGTTAGAAGGAAGTTTGCTGATTTTAACTCATCAACTTGATTATCAAATAATGTGGTAAATAGCTTCAGTGTCTTCATTAGTGCATTTTAAAAAATCATGACCTCTACTTATCAGGCACACTGATCTATATATAACTTATTCCTCTCCTAACCTCAGAGAAAGACACATGTCACCTGTTGTCCAGCCAGAAGTTATTTTAAGCTCTTCTAAAATGAGTCATGACATTTAACACTTCATCCTTGGAATCAAGATAATAGATTTTAAGTCAGACTGAAATTTACTGTTTTCAATTCATAAATGAGCCTTAAAGCATTGGGAGCATTACCAGAAGGTGGAATCTGGTCAAACACACTTCAAGGCAGTTATTTCAAACCATCCACAGGATTTTCCTGTGGTTAGGCTACATGCCCATATTTGCGTGACACACTCAGCTTTCAAGTGGTACAGTCATTGTTTTTTATACTAAGTTCCATAGATGTTCCTTAAATTCCTGTTCTTGCTAATTTAATTTTGTTTTGTGGTGCTGGGGATCAACCCAGGGCCTCATACATGCCAGGCAAATGCTCTACCACTGTACTATATCCACAAATCCCAACTTTATTTTTAAAAGAGTAAATTGTTGTGGTTCCATAAAACAATCCACTTCCTTAAAAAAAAAAGTCTCAAGAACAATTAACAAGAAAGAAAACCAAATAAATTAAAACAAAGCAAAGGAACTTAAATCATCCCTTTTGTAGCAATTGATTTTATAACAGAGAAACTATTTCTAAAATCTCTTTCACAAACTTGACTGATTTTGTCCTCCTTCTCTGAGGGAGAAGTTTTCCCTTGTCCTAGAAATCTCTGTAGCCTGTCACACACACCAGCCCGTCCTGAACCACGCACAGTCATTCGAAGTTGAACAATGGAAAGCTCTTCTACATTTACTGGCATCTGCAAGTTTTGAACACCACAACCACGGGCTGGACCCCACGGGGCTTGGGGGAGTGTTTCCACACTTACCAGAAGGGAAGGAACTAAGCAGGAAGAGAAAGAGGAAAGAGGTGGCAGAAAGTCAGAGCAGCAGCACCAGGAGCAGGCAGCGGGGCTGTGTTCTCACAGAGAAAGCAAACACACACACACACACACACACACACACACACACACACACACACGGGGCAGAAGAGAAGGAGGGGGTGGGGAAGGGAACATCCTATGACACAGCAAGAGAGAAATGCTTCCAAGAAGCTGTCACCAGGGGAATAGCTTAGAAAATAAAGGCACCTGGTAGATTCTGCCTCACTTTCCATGCTTAGTCCTTTTAAAAGTTCAAACCCAGATTAAATGGCCTCCCGGTGAGTGGGTTTTTTTTTTTTTTAAACTACTGTTCTTTTGGACTTTTATCAGTGTCTTATTTTCTGGTTTATCTCCAGTGTGGGTTATGATTCACTCCCCATCCCTTGGGCTACTAAATAGTGAGTTCCAGGCCAGTTGGGGCTAAAGGGAGACCCTGTCAGTGAAAAAAAAAAAAAAAAAAAAAAGTAGGTGGGAGGTCCACTGTAGTTCTGAGGTCATTGCTTGCATTTTCTTTTTTTTCAAAGTTTGAAATGAAAAAAAAAAATTAAATGGCTGTTTTGGAGCTGTGTTTTGAGCTGTCTTTATGTGTATGGTAACCCATGTGACCTCTGATCCCAGTCTTCCCAAGGTGACTGTGTTCACATATCTGGGGGAGTCCACTCACCATAAAATGCCTTCCTCCTAACTTAGACCTGCTCCATGCTTTTTCTGGAGAATGTGCTCCCAACACTTTTCCAAAGCAGATTTCTTCTACCAGAGTTTCTGCTCTGATAACAGTCTGGGTATATCACCCCTGGGAAGATAAAAGAGCTGAGGAGAAAACAACACCTATGTGATAGCTATCTAAAAGGTCCAGAATAGGCTTGTCTGTTTTCAAAACACAGAGTGGCTCTGAAGAATCCACCTTTGGGACAGGCTAATAAAGAAGGCAAATTAATAGAGCTGTTTATTGTGAAATCAACCCCAGGAGAACACAAATTATACTTTTAAGCCTTTGAGCTATTGTGAGGGCAAATTTAGTTTTCAAAAGTAACATTTTAATTTTTATGCAAATTATAGACAAATGACAAAAATATTATAAGCTAATAGGTTAAAAAGTCAAACAATGCTACAAAGCTTGTTACAAGAAACAATGATCTCATGTTCTCACACTCTTCCTCCAGCCCAGTCATAACCTCTAGAGGCAGTGTGAGCAAACTTTAGACATTTCTTCTGGGACTTATTCACTTATTTGTGATTGAATGCTTATACAATCACCCCTGGGTATCTTTGTGTGATTGGTTCTTGGACACTCACCCCATACCAAAAGGAGTAGATGTTTAAGGCCCTCAGATAAAGTACTGTATGGTCACAAATATTATGCATATATTCTCCTGCGTACTTTAAATTATTTATGTGTTATTTATAATACCTAATAGAAGTAGAATGCACATGGCATGCAAATGGGTGTTGTACTGTATTATTTAGGGAGTAAAGTGAAGGAAAAATAACCCAAACTGAACATGTTCAATGCAGATGCTTTTTTTTTCTTTTTTCTTTTTTTTGACATGCTAGGTATCAAACCCAAGGCCTCATGCTTAGTAGGCAAGTACTCTACCACAGTCTTCGCCTACAGCTTTCAGATGCATTGGATTTTTTTTTTTTTTTTGATTCCTGACGGGAAAAATACATTTTACTAATTGTGCAGTGAAAAACTGCTTACATACACACTGTGGTCCAAACATTTGAGGTTAAGATGCTAGGCTACAGAGATGGGTGATTGTAAGTTCATTGCCATTGAAATATTTCAAATTGCGTTCATGCTTCTATGTTCATGTGAAGAAAAGTGGGCAAAACAATGAAGAGCGACATCAAGTAAAACAACAGCATTTTCCTGACACAGAAGGGCAGGTGCACATATGAATTCACAGCAGCTGTGACAGTATGCACAAGCTTAAGACAGAAAATCTAGCATGGAGTGGGGAGGTGAGCATAAAGTCTCACCCCTGGCTGAGGAACTACTGACAACTGATGGCAGCTCGGAGTGTTTTCTTTTTCTTTTTCTTTTTTTTGAGACAGGGTCTCCTTGTAGCCCCAGCTGTCCTGGAACTTGCTATGTAGACCAGGCTGGCCTCGAACTCACAATCTGCCTCGAACTCACAGATCTGCCTGCCTCTGCCTCCCAAGTGCTGGGATTAAAGGTGCGCGCCACCACGCCTGGCTTTTTTTTTTTTTTTAACTTTTAAAATAACTTTATTGAGTATTTCATACACGCATATAAGCTGTTTTGATCAAATCCATGCCTCCAACGCCTCCCACACCTCCCCATCACTTTTTTTCCTTCTTTTATTTATTTTTATGGGGCTTTTGGCTACTCTAACATTCCCCCCTCTGAAGAGGTGTCCCTAAAATCTTTTCAGGATTAGATACAAGCTCCCAAATTCTTTCAACATTTTTGGCCTTTGGAACAGAGTATGTTGCTAAGAGGCCCAAGGACATTTTGACTTTTAGCCAACCTCCTATTCTTATCACACCATCCTCTGAAGGGGTTACCCAAATTGCCATCAGGGAACAGGGATGCAGACTGCTCTGGCTTCTTCCATGTTGAACAGGGATACAGGGTGAGGCAACTGGAGTACCCCTCAGTGGGCCTATCTAAAAGACTCCCAAATTGCATAACTCTTATCTCTAAGGGGAAAAGAAAGTCCTTGAATCTTGACTAGGGCATGTGAAGAAGTAAAGGCAAGAGAAGTTAGCATTACAAGTTCTAGACAGGGAACTAGAAAAAAGTCAGAACAGGGCAATTTTCAAATGTTCATGTGAGAGTCCCTTGGAATTTCTTGACAAGGGCTTCCAAAAGCATCCCTCTATTGAATTCTTCTTCATTTTTCTTTTGTCTTCCAAAGCTGGACTCTAGAGTGATGGACTCAGGATTTGCTTTCAGGCATTTTGATAGCTGTTGGAGTGGTTTCTTAGAATCAGTGTCAGTTCCCTCTTAAAGGCTTCTAGATAGGGGGAGAAAACAAATTTATCCATCATTTTAGAACAATAGCTGGTTCTATGGAGCACCGATTGTATTGCTGTTAACTCATCGATGTTTTGGCCTTTCTTATTGTCTTCCCATAATCATGAAGATCCTTGTTATTTACATATTCTTTTCTCATTTTTCTAAGGAAATTGAATCTCAATTTTAAATTTATATTCTATGTTTTCATTTTTGCGGGCAAACAATGTTTGTTGATAAGCCACGTAGAGTACTGTGATTGTAATTCCATTCCTGTGCAACTTTCTGTTTTTCTTGGAGTTAACGATTCCTCTGTTGTTTTCTCTTCTTTTCCTCCTCTCTTTTCCTCTCCCCATTCCCCTCTTCTCCTCTTGGCCTTTTTGACGAAGACCAACCTCTAATCACTCCTCTCTCTTGCCTGTGTCTCCCTAGTGTTGGAGTGTATGCACCACCACACCTGACTGCTTCTGTTCATGTATTTAATACTGGGAATATCCTTGCTTCCCTAACTGCACAGGAGCTCTGTGAAATATATCTTTATATAATTTTTCCCAAGATGAAATCTTTCAAGTAGTTTATACATTCTGGCATTTTCTTGGAGATTTCATCCCCATATACAAATTGCCTCAGAGCTTTACTCTCTTCTTCCTGGTCTGGTGGCTTCCTGGGCCTGCTGCCCAGCTGGGGGCCCAGCTCTCCCCTGCTGTCTTACTCAGAATTCCCTTTCCCTCTCTTTTGTTTCTTAGTTCTCATCCTTCTTTCTTGGTTTACTTCCTCATTTGGTGGAGCACACCCTCTGATGGCTTCCTGGAAAGCATTTATGGGAGACTTTTTTTTTATCTTTTTGAGACAGGGTCTCCCTGTAGCTCCAACTGTCTTGGAACTCACTATGTAGACCAGGCTGGCCTCAAACTCACAAAGATCTGCCTGCCTCTGCCTCCCAAGTGCTGGGATTAAAGGCGTGCGCCACCACGCCTGGTAGTTTTCCTTTTTAAAAAATATTTTACAATTGTGAGGTCATTTTTATTCTTGACCCTTTGTACATAATGTATTTCTTTTTCTTTCTGAACCTTTTAGGATCTTTTTTTCTGATATTGTGAAGTTTCACAATGATAAAACTAATGGTAATCTTCTGTAGGTCATTTTATTGAGTATCTACTGGATTTTTTAAATCTGGAGGCTTATTTTTTCATCTCCCTTTGTTATTTTCCTTCATGCTTGTCCTTCTTTGGGTCTTTTTGGATAACCTTTCATAAAGAACAGCCCTCAGGTATCCTGAAATACACTTATTTTTGTAAGATGGGATTGTGGGTCTTTTATTACTAATTTCTAATGTTTCTTCTTTGGATTAAATCAGGCAAACTGACAGCCATCAAATCACATTCTTATGTGTAGTTAACTGTGGTACCACCTCTTTTGGTAGTATCGATATTTGTTGAACCTTAGTTTCAAATTCATCAATCTTTTCAGAGTATCAGACATTAGCTTGCCTTTCACAGGCAGCCTTTCCCATCACCACCCTATTTCATTTCTCTGAAGTATGCTTTCTGTTTCAGTGGATTCATTTACCAGCGTCTTTGGGTCTAGTTCTTATTCACCATGGCTTGGGGTTTACAGATTCACTTCTTCTGCTGTTCTGATGCCATAGTTTCTTTTTCAGCTTCTTGCTAGTTTGTGGTGAATTATAGTAGAGAAAGAGGTTGGAAGCATCTTTACCATGCCGCTTTGTGCCGGAAATCTGCTTAACCACTTTACTGGTCCAGTAATAAAATTAACTGTCCCTCAAAATAACAACCCCCAACAATGCAGTTATCCAGCAAGACCTGGCTAGTCTCTGTTTCAGGAATACTAAAGTAGAAATTTCTACATGGAGCTTGGGAGGAGGGAGAGATACATAAATTCAATGATTCACTTTTAATATCTCTTTCAAATATGAGTTTATAAATTCTGTTTTTTTCCTAACAGGGTCTAAGGAAAGAATAATTTAAATTAATTATTAAGATTATATTGACAAGATTGGTAATTAAAGTTATAAGCATGGGGTTGGTGAGATGGTTCCATGGGTAAA